ACTTATGGTCATGGCATACAGGAATAGATAACCTAATATTGTGTTTGTTTACTTATGGTCAAGGTTTACAATACTAGATAACCTTGTGTTTGTTTACTTATGGTCATGGCTTACAGGACTAGATAACCTAATGTTGTGTTTGTTTACTTATAGCCATGGCTTACAGTACTAGATAACCTAATCTTGTGTTTGTTTACTTATGGTCATGGCTTACAGGACTAGATAACCTTGAATTTGTTTACTTATGGTCATGGCTTACAGGACTAGATAACCTAATCTTGTGTTTGTTTACTTATAGTCATGGTTTACAGTACTAGATAACCTAATATTGTGTTTGTTTACTTATGGTCATGGCTTACAGGACTAGATAACCTAATATTGTGTTTGTTTACTTATGGTCAAGGCTTACAATTCAAGATAACCGTGAATTTGTTTACTTATGGTCATGGCTTACAGGACTAGATAACCTTGAATTTGTTTACTTATGGTCATGACTTACAGAACTAGATAACCATGAATTTGTTTACTTATGGTCATGGCTTACAGAACTAGATAACCATGAATTTGTTTACTTATGGTCATGGCTTACAGTTCAAGATAACCGTGAATTTGTTTACTTATGGTCATGGCTTACAGGACTAGATAACCTTGAATTTGTTTACTTATGGTCATGGCTTACAGAACTAGATAACCATAAATTTGTTTACTTATGGTCATGGTTTACAGTACTAGATAACCGTGAATTTGTTTACTTATGGTCATGGCTTACAGGACTAGATAACCTAATCTTGTGTTTGTTTACATATGGTCATGGCTGACAGAATTATTTAACCTTGTGATTGTTTACTTGTGGATTTGGCTGACAATAGTAAGCAAGTGTATAAGTAATTCTACTGTTTATTCTGTAAACTCCATCTTTTATTTTCAAAACGAGACCCAAAGACACTTTCCAAGAAGGCACACAAACAGTGTTAAAGAAAGATATCATGAATAAAATTGTTTTAATTTTAAAATATGCAAATAAAAGTTGTGAGGGGTCCTAGATTGTAAAGCAGCACATTTTGACCGTGAATAATCAAGAAAAATCACCATTGTAGTTAAGCCTAACTTCACAAGAACATGAAAATGATGAAAGAAAAGTTATGAAAGTGTTTCAGGATTAAAAAATTCTCTTTATGTAAATTGTGTTTCTTTTCTATTGATTTAGAAGATGAAAATAGGCTGGAAGGTGACAATATCCATTGCCTTGAAGACAGCACAAGAGGTAACATAATATTGTGAATAAGTTTTAGCTGATTTCTAGTGAAAGTTTGATTTTCAACCTAGTTATAGTAGTGAGATGTATGTATTTAAAAAATGCTGTTGTAAGTCCAGCACTGGAATGAAGAATCTGTACATCTTAAGAATAGGAATTCTTACCATATGTTTTAATATAAGTGTTTAACATAATATAAATTATTTGTTTCCTACATGGCTGCAAAAGAAGGACATTTGTTTAGACACTTGTTTAGAGATGTGAATAATCTGCTGAAATCACTCAAAAAATACAGGTCCTAAATGCATGTAAATTATTGAAGGAAGATAATAACTGCTTATTTCCACCATTAAATCTCATCAGACAGTAATGAGAGTGAAAAAATGAATCTTGCAAAATTATGTACATTCAATAATAGGTAACAGATTTCCCCTTGATGGTATGTGAAGTGAGAGACATGACTTGCACTCTCAGGTTTGCATTGTGGGCAAGTTTTGATGCATTTCTTTTGCATTTCACTTCCATGAATGTGTATTCACGTGGTTGAAGTTGAACTAAATTAATATGATTAACGAAATTAAAAACACACAACTTTAAGCTGTTATGATTTTTGCAACAGTCTCTTTACAATCAGAATCATTTAAGTTTTTGAATGTGGAAATATATTGAAGTCATTCTGAAAAGCCTGTATATAATAAGTTGGATAAATAAATAGAATTGCATTTTTCTGTTCACTAAATTTTACACTATATTCATCAACCTTCATAATAACTACATCATGATTTTATAAGAATTAACTAAAACAAACAATAGTCCTAGTTCAATTCATCCCAGAATTTGTTAGCATAGTTATGAATCCTCGGCCTGTCTTTGTGAATTTGCTAGACAACCAGTACTAGGAATCGGCCCAGCGTAGCCAGGTGGTTAGGGTGTTCGACTCACAATCTGCGGGTTCGAATCCCCATCCCACCAAACATGCTCGCTATTTCAGCCGTGGGGGCATTATAATGTGACGGTCAATCCCACTATTTGTTGGTAAAAGAGTAGCCCAAGACTTGGCAGTGGGTGGTGATGATTAGCAGCCTTCCCTCTAGTTTTACACTGCTAAATTAGGGACAGCTAGCGCAGATAGCCACCGTGTAGCTTTGCACGAAATTCAAAACAAACAAACACTAGGAATCCTAGTTTATTAAAGCTTATAACTTAGCTGTAATGAAACTAGAGAAGTTTTCTTAATCTTTTAAAGCATACATCATTTAGTAATGTTGTTTACATCAGCAGTATGAAAACTTATTTAAACTATTTAAATCTATTAGAACACGGTTTAATTGAATGTCATCTTCAAAAGTCTTGTTAAATAATAATTATTGGTTCTAATAATTTGCTTTGAACAATAAAATGCAAATATTTCCTGATATTGTAGAAAGTAATAAGATTTAAAATGTTTTTGAAGCCAACATACACAAACTTAAAACTGCTATATTTCATGATGCTAGTGTAGCTTATGTACATCAACAGTTTTTGTGAAACTACGAAGTTAGTTAAATTGAGAGAGCCATTTAATAAAATCTTAATGGCTTTATAGTGTATGTAGTTAAGAGTATGACAGTAATTACAGTTGAAACTATTATTACTTTACTACTAGTTTTGATCAGTGATTTGTTACCTATTATTTAGCTTTAATATTGCTCCCTGTTGGCTCGGCAGTAATTCTGAGGGATTATAATGCTACAAATCTGGTTTTGTACATGTGGGTAGCACACAGATAGCCCATTGTGTAGCTTTGCACTTAGGAACAGACAAGCTTTAATTTTGACATGTTAATGAAGTAACAATGTTTTTTTTTCAGGAGCATTACTTCAGGTTCACTCTTGTTTTGCCTTTTTTAACATTTAAATTTTTTTCAACAGTTATGTGTACTGAAGTCTTGATATCTGACGAGTGTCTTGAGGTTCAAACTTTTAATTTGATGAAAGTCAATTAAAGTTGTTTTCAGGAGAATGACTTTAGATGAAACCTTGTTTTGCTTTATTTACTAGATCAGAGATATTGATAAATAATTAACATTACTGTAGTGTTTGTAAATGTACAGTTGTGTATTCTATAAAACTAGATACAGGCTACTAAGGTGTAAGACTTGCCTTGTCTTAAATTTTGATCTAAAAAGTAAAACTAACTCAATGAGTTTTAACATTTTTATGTTATCAGAATGTCTATTTTCAGTTGTATTTAAACTCTAGATTTAAATATTTCTTGTTGAGATTAATTGTCCTATTTAATGTCCTATTTGATAATATATTTACTGATGAAACAATGTTTGTAATAAATATGATATTTGTGGAATGTACAATTGTCTTTGTTAGCCCCAATTCAAGATAATAATTATGTGTTTAGATATATCTAAAATTTATTACTTTAACTTTTTATATAGGGCTTTTTTTCTTTTTTTATTAAGTAGGGGGATATGTGTAATGGCTGAAAATTTCAAGTTTATGTGAATAAATCTTCCATTAGACAAACTCTGTTCTTGTTTAAAAAATCAAACATTTATTTGATACTTTGTTTCTTTTGTAGAAAAACAAAATTGGATTTTCATTAATTTTTCGTTATTCAGGTGGAAGGTTGGTAGCTTGGAGCCCTCAAATGACAAAGCTGCTTTTGTCCTTAAGACAAAAACATGATGGTCTATTTAATGAAGACTTTGTTCAAGGGGAACGTCTAACAAAAAGAAAAGCATGGAATATTATTGCAAAGATTATAACAAAAGTTAGCTCTGTTTATGTAACAGGAGATCAATGTGAAACAAAGTGGAAAAGAGAAACAAACAAGAAAAAACCTTTAGTGCAGGATGGAAGTAAAAGTGAGATTCCGAGTCCTTCAGTAAAATCAGCAGGAAATAATCATACAAATATTAGCTCTTCACTAAATGTGGCTGGATTGAAATCTGCAAGAAAACAGCTTAACCCTACAAAGTTAAGCATACCATTTTCTTCAAAGTCAGCCAGTGGTTGTTCTGTAATGTCAAATGGAAATACTGAAGCATCTATTGTAATCAGTGAAGAGTCCACTCAAAGTTCTCAGGACAAAGCAGAAGAAATACAAAAAGATACCATAAAAGACAAAAGTGTTGATAAAGCTGAAACACCAGCTGAATCTAGTGATAGAAAACGACCTCGGAAAGAGGAAGACAGTTACATTCAGACTATCAAAAAGATGCACAGTGATCGGATGCAGATTCTAGAAAAGCTAGTTCAAGTGTTTTCTGAAGACACGTAAATAGCTGCAAGTGGAAAACATAATGTAAAGTCGTTTTTTCAAAATATATGTTTAGATCATCCACTCATTGCTCATATTCATTCTCTGAAATGTTGTTGTTAGTTTTTCTTCTAAACATAGGTCATTTTGTCATAATTTTTGTAATAAATGCTCTAATCACATAATTATTTTAAGTTGTATTTTTTTTCTGTCATAAGAAACACTAGATATTAACTGAATGGAAGATAAACTGAAATGATGGATAAGTGAGCTAATGTCATGTTAAACTGACCTTTCACAGTCATTTTTCTAAACTTATTTTGATGAATTTTTTTATTCCTATCAGTAAAAAAATTGAGATATAATTATAGAATGTATTGTTTTGCATGTCACTCGCTGTTCAATTATTTAGTTTAAGTCCAGTTGAATAACTTGTTATTTTCGTTGTTGTGTCTTAGTCTATAATTTACTTGAATTTAAGCATTAAAATTTCTTGACTACTAGATCAAAATAATTACATTATGTTTATACCTTTAATCTGGCTGTAATGTTTTATTAAGATATTAATAATAATGAAACAAATAGTAGGTTTAAAAAAATTAATTCATTTGCCCATTCGCAAATGACCAGTCAAAAAACAAATTCCCCAAAATTGAGAAGTATTTCATAATTAATTCGTCTAAAAATCATTTTCCTAAACTTGTTTCAATTTGTTGATCAGCATCATTTCTCACTAGTCATTATGTTTGAATAACAGAGCTAAAACCACAAGAATAAAGGGCCTAAAGTTAGAATAATTTAAGTACTAATTAAAACTTATCTTTGAATATGCAGGTACTTTGTGTGTGTAATGATGAACCTTATGTAAGAATAGAATATCAAAATGTTGAATAATGTTCATGTGAAACAATAATGAATGATTGTTAATGCAGACTTCAAATCACTAAGTCCTATAAAAACATTTCAAGCATGCATATCTAAAAGATGGGTAAGAAGGGGCTGGAAACCATAGATAAATGCCACTTGTGCAACCACTGTGAACTTGTTTTTTTTTCTCCACAATTTTTGCATTTAGTAGTTGTCAGTGGTTTATTGTGATTACATATCAGTATTTTGTTTGTTTGCTTCGGGTGCTGTAATCCAGTATTCAAATAATCTCTGAATATTCTTCTCAAGATTGAAGTTTTGTTTTTCTTTTTCAAAAATTAGTATAAATATTCAAAGTTTTTGGTTTTATATTGTTAGTAGTTTTACACGTATCAAATTAAAAAAATTACTTTCTTTTTTCTGTTTCTGCTATTTGATACAACTAATCTTCCAACAGAAAGATTGAAGTTGAAAGAAGATAGTCTAGCAGGGATCTCCATCATGTTGTTGATAAGCACACAATATCTATGTATTAAACAATCTATATAAATGGCTGAGCATGTATGCACTTTCCCTGATCAAATCGGGTTTTTGTTGGCTAGATATTGTTAAAAGTTGCATGCTTTGATGTCTTTAGAATCATTGTTTAATATAGTTTTTAATGGATGGAACAGTGATATAGAATCATTGTTAAACATGGTTTAAATGGACGGAACAGTGATATAGAATCATTGTTTAACATAGTTTAAATGAATGGAACAGTGATATAGAATCATTGTTTAACATAGTTTAAATGGATGGAACAGTGATATAGAATCATTGTTAAACATGGTTTAAATGGATGGAACAGTGATATAGAATCGTTGTTTAATATGGTTTTTAATGGATGGAACAGTGATGCATTAAAACTTCTGATTGTTTTGCTGCATTCAGCTTTTCTTCTTTTCTTTCCTTGTGCCGAGTTTGATTCTTTATATATTGTCCTGATAGAAATGCAGATAGCTGGGGTGGGGGTCATGAACAGACGTTTTTTGTTTTTTTTTAAGTATAGCCTCAAACTGATAAAAGTAAATATGAATGAAAACTTTTGCAATTACTAGTATCTAATGTTGGAAACATGGTCAGTTGAATGGATAAGTATGATCAATTGATGTACATTACAAGATCAATGTCAGATTTTGTGACAATTTCCTTGACAAACAATGGACTAAATATATGAGTAAATTACAGAAATATCTCTTTACATAATCATTTAGGCCTAATAAAGGGGCAATGTTAGACCTATTTCTGTGCCATTACCTAGCTGTGTTAGTTATTTTGGATATGGTGGTTGTGTGAAATTAGTATGCTGTATTAATACTTTATAATTTGAGAAAACATGGCTTAACTTAGTATCATAACTATAAACAGCAGTACATAAAAATAGTACTTGTACCTAGTATTTTGTTACTTTTTGAAACTTAGATAAATCTCACAGAATATAAGTTATTTGTAAGTTGCTACAGTAGAGTGCTTGCTACTTCTGTTATTTCACATGAACTGATAGAGTTGAAAAGTTTAACTATGTGTAGGCTTGATGTTCACTGATTGACTTCTGATAATATTTTTATTGGTTGAGCCTTTCTATAATTGTGCTTATTGGCTATGTATTATGATTATTCTGGAAATTCTGTTGGTTATGTATAGAAATGTTGTTATATATATAAAAAAAAAAGAGTTTTGAGGGTTTTTTAGTTTCAATAAAAGTTATGAAATCACTTTTCTGTTGGTGAAAGTGATGAATGAGGTTTAGTGACACAGAGTAGCCAATGTCCATTTTCAACAATGAAGTGAGAGCTCTGTAATGACATTTTGTTCCTGACTTAATAAAACAAAGCCACTTCTGGCCATGGAAAACCAAAATCATATATTTGGTAGTTTTTTACTCACCTTCAAGATGACAAAATGCTTAAAGCTAAGGTGCAAGTAACTTTTCAGTTGAAGAAGTTGCTAAGTGTCCAAAAATCTGCATTAAGCTGAGCATATAAGATTCATGTGTAGAACATTTGCTACCTGACCAAAGATCCCAACCATAAGTAACAATGAGACTGCAGATGTCCGGCAGAATATCAGTGGTTTAATCAAAGAAGTCCCTTACATCTCCATGATGTTTATTGGTCAGTGTAATTTAAAGAGAAAAAGTAAAGTTTTATGATAACAATTCAATGGCCAATCTTTTATTAGTTCATTAGGACTTAAATACTGCAGGTTACATTGCAGATTAATTTAAAAACATAATTGCTGGAAAGAACCATCAAAAGTTATTTTTTGTTATACTAGATAATGCTGCCAAATTGATAGCCCACATTGAAAATGTTCATTAATGAATATCCACATGTCCAGCATTACAGTTGTGCAGCTCATGCAATGAAACTAGATACACTTGATGCAAATAATTTGAAAACATTCTCATCATACTTGCACAAGTGCAAAAAAAGGAAGAGAAAATCTAGTGAAACTCAATGGGATTGTCCATTAAACATTTCAAAGACCTATAGTTAGCTGTTGCAGAAGAAACATTTTCATGTTGATATTTTTGATGAAAGGGTGTTCTGGATGCAAAATTTCAAATTCCTTGTGTAGCATGATCAGTTGAAAAGATGGGAACAAGTTTAGCTACATTGTTTGATGCTCAAATATAATTTTTTTCAAGAATACAAATATAAGGAAGTCCATTCACCAAAGTTGATGAGTACAACATTCAAAAACAATACTAGCAAGTTATTACCCCAGTTCAAAAATCAGCATACCTTATCAATTGGTGTTATCAAAGGAAGGATTCAACATGTGATTTCAATATGGCCATGTCCAATTTCATAGGGCATTATGGTCAGCGAACTATTTTTCCACAGTTGGCCAGTTTTAAAACATACAAGTTTATTTGACACTAAAACCACATGTGATGCTTTACCTGCTGTGGAATCTGAAAACCTCTATTGATATGGGCCTGGTGATTAGAGTGCTTGGCTTGCAATCTGTGGGTTGCAGACTTGAATCCCCATCACTGAACATGTTTGCTCTTTCAGCTGTGCAGGAGTTATAATGTGATGGTCAATCCCATTATTTGTTGATAAAGAAGTAGCCCACAAGTTTAGTAGTTGTCTTCCCTCTGATCTATAACTGCTAAATTAGGAATGGCTAGCTCAAATAGCCCTCGAGTAGCCTTGCAGAACATTCAAACCAAACTGTTGATGTGGTAGAAAAGCATGTGTTTTTTCCTGTATTTTTGTCTATGTGGCTGACATCTTTGTCTGTAATTTGCACAACAGCTTCTGTGTTTAGTGAAGCTGGACATTTTAATGATCCATAAACATTAAAACAAGAAACTGACTGATGATGTCCAAAGTTGATAAATTGTTCAGTGTCTAATACAACCTCTGGTTGATAACTCCCAGAAGAAAACAAAGAGGGATGGTGGTTGGAGAATACATTGTTAAGGATCAGAACAGTAAGGAATAAGTAACAATGGAAAACTAAAATTGTGAAGAAAAGGCCAAAGGATCCTGTTTAATTGGACTGATATGTTGTTTTACGAGGTTGTATGTTTTTAAGATAATTCTTAATTTGCATCTTTATTAGACAATAAGTGTCGAAGTTTTTGTAAAATAGAAACGGGGCATAAAGAGATAAGATTCACAAACAGTTTTGTTATGTTTATTATTGAAGTAAAAAATAAAAACAAACTTTTCTTCAATTTCTAAATAAATCATTTGAAGCAAACTATAGGAACTTCGTAATGTGTAATACAAAAAGTCTTGCAGATATTTCACTATCACAGAAGCAATATTTAACAGTATTTCATCACCTTGATCAGTCAAGTAACCCAATCCTTATGGACATCAGAAGTTGAAAGTGGCCTGAAATCTTGATCGCAATGCTCTATCTTTGCATTGTAGAAATAAGTTACAATATATTTGTATCTTAGACAATTAACATTCTATTTGAAATAAATAGTAGACCAATATATAATTTTGATCGAAATAATTAAGATTACAGCTGAAAATATCGTTAATAGCAAGGGTACCCAACCGATGAAACAATGTATTCTAATATTTATACGTAAGAAATGTATATTTAATTAGCTATACTCAATGCCAGGTTAATTTTTAGTTTTACTCTAAGTAGGTAGCTTGCGCTGATCAGAAGTTAATTTAAAATTAATGCTAGAGCATTGTATTATATAAGTGTCGTCAAGATAGCCAAGTTAACATTTTCTGTAGAACAAACATCGGAGCACCGTATAATACAGTCATGATAATTTAGTTAGCATTGTCATTGGAATAAACATTGGATCTTTATATAGTTATATAGTCAAAATATCTTAGTTAACATGTTTTCTGGAATAAACTTTGGAGCATTGTATAAACCTAGTAAATATAACTTGGTTAACAGGAAGGTTTTTACTTCCTTACGTCTTGCATTGAATAATATGTTTACACGACTTTTCGGGGCACATGCGTTCTCCTTTTGGTCAGTGAAATAGATATGAGCAGCTACTTTTCTTCGGGATTCAAAATTATTGAATCGCCGATAACCGTAGTTTTTATTCTTATGGTATCTGCTTCACCAATGATTTCATGCTTTATAACTGGCAACTGGACTAACTAATATTGTCGAAATACACAAAAGTGTCTTTTGAAATATATTACCATACCATCCTTATAAAGTGTTTTATCTTCTTTTTTTAAAATATTTCCCTGGAATATTGTGGATATAGCCAGTACAGAGATGCAGCAGATATTAAAGGATGTTGTCATACAACCATCAGGGAGTGCATGTTCATTTCTAGTAGTGATTGGGAAGAATGATGACATAAGCAAGTTTTGTGTATATTTCCACTGGGTGAATGCCATGATGTACTGTGATGCCTTTCTGTTGCCACGAACATACAAATATTTAGATGTGCTGGAAGATGCTTAATAATTAAGTCCTCTAGACCTGGCCTCCAGATTTTGACAAATGGAACTGGATAATGAGAGCAAGGTCAAAACTGCTTTTAGCACTCGAGATAGTTTGAGCTCTGAGTCATGCCATTTGGCCTGTGTAATGATATGGCCTCTTCCGAGAGGCTGATGGAGCTTATGCTTAAGAGGCTGCAATAAATGAGATGACTGATCTATGTGTATAATGTCCTGATACTTGAACATTTGTTTTAGCCTGCTGCTATGAACTTATCCATGGTTCTGCAATGGATAAGAATGTTAGGGTAAAAACTAAAGTACACACAAGTAGAATTTACCAGTCACATAGTGGAGAGAGACGCCACCTTGACTGACCCTGCGAAGATTGAATTGGTTTGAGACTGAGTGCAACCCGTAACGAGATGAGAAGCTGAAAGTTTCCTTGGGATTGCATTATATTATCATTATTTCGTGGCCAAATTTTCCAAGATTGCCGTTTTAGTGTCTGCTTTCATTAGAGCTAATGTTCATTTTAGGTAGACCAAGAAGTGTAAACACACATTCCTATCACTAAAACGTACTTTATTGGAAGCTCTTGTGGTGGTATGAACTATGAGTACCTGTTGGATAAGGATGCCAGTGATAGTGGAGTCAAGCCAGTGTTGTAACAGTCGCTAGACAGAGTGGAATAAGTGATTGTATGCAACAGCCAGGTGCTCATGTTCCCGTAAGCCAATACTGCATGACCAATATGGAATTATTTACAGTTGTAGTCTTCATAAAATATTGGTCATTATTTGTATGGCAGGAAGTTCACCCTTAGGATGGATCAAGCATTCCCATGAAGGGATTGTAGCACATTGGATCACAACGTTGCAGTGGTAAGACAGGGTCATATGGCTTTGTCTGGTAGTGCAACACAGAAACAGATTATCTCGGAACATAGTGAGGATCTGTATATTCATTGAATGTCCTCACACAGGGCACCATGTTGAAATAAAATCACTTTAGCTGTCATGTCACTAATCCTACTGTAGGCGATTGTTCTAGTGATGAGACACCAAACTCACACCTCGAGAGTTTTAGGAAGGGCAATTGGGGGATCGGAAACTGGGCACTCCTTGACATGTAGAAGGGTAACAAGCATTTACAAGTGTGCCACAGCATGTTGTAGTATTTGCATCAGTCACCTAGACGTGGTTCTCAGCCTGTATCGCATCTAGTGGTATCCAGGATGCTGAGGCAGATCTTGTATGATGCAAAGACTTGATGTCATCAAGGTGTATCATGCACTAGTATTAATGTTCTATGGCAATTCCACTGGTGGTGTTTGAATCATGATGTTCAGCAGTTGTGCCAACAGGGTGCTGTGTATGCAGCTTACATGAAAAACTGGCCTAGATGGGGTAAACTCCATTAAAGAATTGTTGGTTCTGTTCTCTAGAGAATAGCCCCAGGACATCACTGGTTCCCTCCTAGAGACAAAGTCAAGTAATTGATATGTACTGGTTATTTTCAACTACTTCACTAAGTGGGCCAGGGCCTACCCATTGGTGGACACTAGCACATTTCATTGCTGATGTGTTGGCAGAGCAATATATAGCTAGATTTGATGCACCTGAAGGAATTCTCATAGATCATGAAACTATTTTTAATTGTCAGTTCTCTTGGTTGAGCAGTGTTGGGTGTGGTAAAGATGCACACTTCAAGCTATCGTCCCCAGTTAGGTGGTTTGGCAGAGCAGGCAATACAGACTGTCAAGCACATCCTTACAAAGTTTTTAATTCTGTTCAAACCAACTGGGACAAATATTTGCCATGTATAATAATTGACTGGATGTTTACCAAACATGCTCATGTTTGTGTGGGAAATTATGCTCCTCGTAGATGTCATGTATAGTTTACCACCTATTGAAGAAGTGCCACAGTGTCCATAAGCATATGTGGTATAGTTAAAATCTGC